TGCACCCACAAGCCGGGAGACGCCTCCGGGGCCCATCGTTCCTCCTGTCCAGCACCTTGTCCGTGGGTGTCCCCCTGGGTCTGAGCCCAAGCCCTGGCGAGCCTCCCCTCCCTCCCTCACGGCCCCCAGGCCCTGGAGGGAAGACACTCGTCCCTGCCACGCCCAGGCCTGGTCTGTGCACAAGAGTCCTCACCCAGAACTGGCCCAGCGTGTTGATGTGCTGCGACTTGAGGAGGGCGTCGTCGTCGCTGTCCATCAGGCTCTTCCCGTGGACCACGGCGGCGTTGTTCACCAGGATGGTGATGTCACCCACCTGCAGGCGGGAGGGGCCGCAGCTCTGTCAGGGCAGCCCCGTGCCTGGCCCCCTCCCCCCGGCCATGGGACCTGGGCAGCCACGTCGCCACGCTGATTTGTAAGATGGAGCTTATGACCACACCAGAGATGTCACCAGAGATGTTCTGAGGATTAGAAGTAATTTATGGCGCAGCACAGATGTGGCACGGAGCGCGTTTACCACAAATGAGGTTATCGTTACATAAAAAGGAACATTTACCGGGTGCCAGAGGCTTAACAGGTGGTCTTTGCTCACTGACTCACTCAGTCGAAATGACAGCTGGAGTCAGGAGAAGCCTTTTCCCAGAGGGCAACGGGACATTTGCCCCGGGAGCTAGAATAGACACAAGGTCTAAATGCCAAAGGGGACAAGAGATGGTTACTCCTGTCATTCATCAACCCATAGCCCTCCCTGGTCCCTGCTCCCGCAGCACACACATGCACACTCATACATGCATGCACACACATGTACATACACACTCGGGCCGGCTTCACGGGAGAGTCCCCAGAGAGGCTCTGGAAACAGCCGTTCTGCCATCGCAAGGCTGGGCCCCAGGCCACAGGGCTGTTCCCTTCAGCTGAGCGAGGACAGCCCTCCAGGCGGCTCACCTTCTCCCGCACGGCCTTGGCCATCTGGTACACCTCCTCCCGGTTGCCCACGTCACAGATGAAGTAGTGGCACTCCGTGCCCATCTGCCGGATCTCCTCTGTCGTCTCCTTCAGGCACTTCTCGGTGCGGCCCCAGAGGACGATCTGGAGGGAGAGGATAAGGCCCTGAACAGGTGGTCGCCGAGCAAGCCGTCGCGGTTCAAGGATCGCCACCAGACATTCCGTATTTAGGGAATCTGCCCAGGGACTGGCCTTCCCGGTTCCACCCAAAGGGAGTATGCAAAGCAAATGAACAAGATGACTTTTTAAAAAGGGATACAGCCCGGCCGGCGTGGCTCAGTGGTTGAGCACCAACCTATGAACCAGGAGGTCATGGCTCGATTCCTGGTCAGGGCACATGCCCAGGTTTCGGGCTCCATCCCCAGTGTGGAGCGTGCAGGGGGCAGCCGATCAATGATACTCTCGCATCATTGATGTTTCTATCTCTCTCTCCCTCTCCCTTCCAGTCTGAAATCAATAAAAATATATTTTTTAAAAAACAACAACCACCTTCTTAAAAGAAAAAAGAAAAAAAGGACACAGCCTACTGCAGTGAGCCAGGAGGTGCCGAGCCCATTTCTGACCTCACAACAACCACCTTCTTAAAAGAAAAAAAGGACACAGCCTAAGCTCAGTGAGCCAGGAGGTGCCGAGCCCATTTCTGACCTCAGTCGTGGACGTGGTATTTACAAGACTGAGCCATTCCTTCCAGCACGTCCCCTCCTGCCAGCCCCATTCCAGGCATCCCACACAGCTATAACGAAGCAATCACTGCGCTCTTTCTGCAGAATGTTCCAGAATGTTCTCAGCTGGGAACAAGCTGGCCTTCTCACCAGCGAGGTCTGGAGCCAGGTTTATGGACACGGCGGTTAGATCGCACCGGGAGGTTCCGGCCGCGAGGCGCCTGTGCTAAGCCGAGCCTCCACCTGGCCGCGGTCACACTTGGTCACGCTCGGAAGGAGGGCCAGGGGCAGAGGCAGCCAGGCTCCCGCTGAGAAGGAAACGGCCTCCCCCCCAAGTTCATAAACTCGGGGCTCATCACGCCAGGAGGGGACCCTGGCAGGACGGGAAGATGGATTCTTAAAGGGGTTGGACAAACTGATGAATGGCCGGCCATAACGGCTCAGCAGAGAAGCCTGGCTGTCTCTCAACCTTGACCTGAGCGAGAAGGACACACTCATGACCTGCCCTTGGGCCCAGAGAGGCAGCCCCTGTTAGCCAAAGGGTCATGGGCGGGGGGACTGGACCCCAAGGAAGACTCCGCTTAGCGCAGAGGGAGGGAAGGTGGGGGCTGGACACCATTGGAGAGAGGAAGAGAGGAAGCCTCCTGGGATTAGTCTAATGGGTTTCTATGTGTATTTCTTCTCTTGCTTTTTAAAATTATCGATGAAACGCCCCTTTAAAAATAAACCCCACGTGAAAACCCCAACGTGTGAAAGAAACCAGCACAAAGACCACATTCCATGTCCAAGTCCACATCTTCTCACTCCACCAGCAGCAGACGGATGAGGACAGACGGGCTGTGCAGGAGGCAAACATTGCCAAGGGGGTTACAGACGGAGCGCCCATCAGTCCAACCAGGGCCCCGAGGATTCTGCACTTTGAAACACAGGATAGAAAGGTTCCACCGATAATCGGTTGTTGGTAGTTACAGTTTATCAACCATTTACCTTGAAATCTCAGAACTTGCCCTCCAGTGGAAAACGCCCCAAATAAGTGTGGCTGGTGGTCTCCAATGAATTTTTCCTTTTGAATTTTTAAACGTCTGAACTCGTTTTTAGAAAGAAAATAAAAGTGTTTTCTCAACCGCTTACACATCTCTGGGAAAGCCCGGTTTGAAAGCCCACCTTGTCCAACCACTTTATTTATTTTAAAGAAATACATTTTTCTTGACACCAGGAAGGGCTGGGAGGGGGCCTCCACCAGTGGCTCTGTGACCCAGAAGTGCATCAAGGGCGAACGGACCGCAAGGAGACAGGCTCCAGGGACACTTCCTTGTCTGCTGACCTTAGAACAGAACTAACCTGTGTCCCCAGGAGAGGCTGGAGCGTCACTGCATGGAGCAGATTAGACCCAAACATCTCCTCTAGGAAGGCAATTCGGCGCAGGCATGCTCCACCCCCCAGGCCACCCGGCCTATAGCCACTGTCACCCAGCTTCCTTCCATCCTTCCTTGTCACTCCATCTGTCTGTCCACCATCATCCATCCCCTCACTCCTTCCTTCCTTCTACCCACCCCAACACCCATCCATCCATCCATCCCTCATTCCTTCCTTCTATCCACCCTGCCACCATCCATCAATTCATATCCATCCACCCATCCATCCATCCATCCATCCATCCCTCATTCCTTCCTTCTATCCACCCTGCCACCATCCATCAATTCATATCCATCCATCCATATCTATTCATCCATCCATCCATCCATCCATCCATCCATCCCTCCATCTTCTGAGTACGTCCGAGTGAGCTCTAGGTAACCCTTGGCCCCCTTTCTCCTGCTCTTGTCCCTGCCTAACCCCATCCCACCTCCAGCTCACAAGAGAAACAGGACCCTTGGGTTTGTGCAGTTCCCTAGGGTCTGGTGAGGCTGGGAGAGGTGCCTCTGGGGATTCAGAGATTTCTGGACAAGTTGACAGGAGAGGAAGCTTAAAGTGGGGGTGAGGGGGGCTTATTGGGAGGTGCAGGGGTCTAGATGCCTGGGAGCACAAGTGGTCATCTCCGAGGGTCTACAGCAGCATCCCAGATGGGTGCCCTTCATTCTGAGGACCCTGGGTTCTTCTCAGCACAAACAGGTGTGCATGAGATTCCTGCAAAAGGGGTGCCGAGGGCCTGGAGGCTGCTGGGCCAGATGAACTCTTCCTGGACCCCCACGTTCTCAGGTATGGCAAGGAGGGCAGGGGTCTAACGCCCCAGTGTGGTCTGTCTGCCCAGGAAACTGGCAGTCAGGGCCCTGGGAGGCCAGCCCTGTGTCCGTGGCTGGAAGGACAGGCTGGAGGTGGCATCAGGAAGGGAAGTGAAGGCTGTGCCCATGCTCCCCGAGGGTGAGGGATGCAGCCAGGTGGGCCCTGAGGTGTGGCCATTTCCTCTCGAGGCTCCGATGAGGAGGCCCCTGGTGGCGGGGCCTGGCCTCCTCAGGTCTGTGCTCCGAGCCCCATGGCCCCCGGGCTTTGTGACAGCTTTGCTTTCTCCCTCCCACCCCACCCCACAGGCTGGGAGCCTGGGTTCTGGCTCGTCCGTTTTCACAGCCCAGTGCCCAGCATGGCCCGTGCTGTTTGTTGAGCGAATGAGTGAAAGTTCAGGATCACAGGTGGGATGGGGTGGGAGGTAATTAAAGCAGCGATCGCCAGCCTTTCCGACCTCACGGACCACCCGCTGGCGACTGCTGGGTGAAAGGGCTTCTCTAAGCCCGAGACCACCCCATCTTCCGCGACTAACAGTCATTTAGGGTCTCAGAACCCTCAACAGAGTCTACTGAGACTAAGAGCCAGCAAGCCCTGGGGTTTTCCTCCCCCAGTCCGCTGCCCAGGCCCCTGTGGGGACCCAGAGTCACGGACCAGGAAGCTGGCTGGTGCAGCTCAGCTGGCTCACCCGGTGGCCCCTGCCCAGAGCCACCTGTCGTCTGACCTGGACAGCTGACAGGAGAGGCCCACCGAGCGCCACACGCGGGCGAGGACCAGGCGGGCAGGAGCAGGGTCTTAGAGGAGGCGGGGTAGGCAGGCTGGGGAGGGGACAGATTTATGAGCCTGTGGACCCTGTGTGGCCTCCTCCTCACTGACTCCCACGATGGGGAGCAGCTGGGGAGGGTCAGTGGCCCAGGATTTATGCCTAAGCTGGGTTTACAAATAAGAGCTCAGGGCAGCTCAACACCTCCGGGCCTCCCTCCCCCTGGGGCAGACGGTTAGTTTCTGTCCTCCTGCGCCTGTGACTGGTGAGGGGGTAAGAGGACAGAGACCTGTGGCCTCCCGGGGCGGTGGGCCCACACTGGGTACAGCCGCCCTGCCTGGCCAGGGCCTGTTCCCCCCTCCCCCGCCAGAGCTGCCCTCACCGAGGCAACGGCCAGCCCCAAAGTTGAAGGCTGTAGTTGTCCACTTTTTATAGGAAATAAAGGCCCAAAGTCACACTCAGTGGGTGATGGAGGCAGGGTTCAAACCACAGAGGCACCCCTGAACCCCCAGACACCGTGGGATATTGTGAGCTCTGAGAGTTCTGCTCCCAAGTGCCGGGTGCCCTCAATCAGCGCTCATTCCCACCCAGACCTTCCTGAGCTCTGTCTCGCTCCACGGCCACAGCCACGCGTCCATCTATGCGCCAGGACCGTGCTGAGGGCCAGCCGTGGGCCGGCCGCTGTGCCCAGGGCCTGGCAGCCAGCAGAGAACAGCAGACGTGGCCCCTGTCCCCGGAGCCCGTGTTCCAGCGGAGGAAGACCCAGAGGAAGGAGAAAACCATCGAACGCAAATTACCATGAGCAGGATAAAGAATAAACGGGGAACTTGTATTAAATGGGGGAGGGGGGGTATGGGGTTGTCATATTACATCCTTGTATAATAAGGAAACTGCAGCTCAGAGAGGCTGAGCAACTTGTCTGAAGCCGCACAGCAACTGAGTGACAGAGCTGAGCTTGGAACGGAGATTTTTCACCATCATTCCCTCCCCCAGTGGGAGGAGAGCCATTTCCTCTCTTCAGGCGGCTCGTGGGGATTAGCACACAGAAGCTAAGAGTTCAGTGAGCATGCTCATTACTGTTTCCCGAAGGGGGGTGGGGGGCCGGGGGGGAGCTGAGAATAATCACAGAACACACACACACACACACACAGCACAGCCTCTCAATGTACCCTGCTCTGCAGCCATTACAACAGTGGTTCTCAACCGTCCTAATGCCGCGACCCCTTAATACAGTTCCTCATGTTGTGGTGACCCTCAATTTCATTGTTACAAATTGAACATATTTAAAGCATAGTGACTAATCACAAAAACAATATGTAGTTATATATGTGTTTTCCGATGGTCTTAGGCGACCCCTGTGAAAGGGTCGTTCGACCCCCAAAGGGGTCCCGGCCCACAGGTTGAGAACCACTGCATTAGAACGATGAATGCTCACAACA